TATAATATATAATACTAATAATAATACTATTATATAATATATAATAATAATATTAGTATATAATATATAATAGCAATAATATTACTACTATATTAGTACATAATACTAATAATAATACTATTGTATAATATTAATAATAATATTAGTATATAATATATAATACTATTAATAATACTACTGAATAATAGTAATAATACTATCTTACTCCAATACCGCCACGCCTGCTCTGAATTGTCATACACTTGAGAGACGAGACAAAGGACGTGTAAAAATCCATAATTTGACAGCTTCTCTAACTTTTATCGGCAAATATAATATCGCAATTATCAATTATCTTACGAACGACTGCATAAAATCCACATATCAGGCAGCGATCTAGAGGCGAGGAGAGAAAAATAGCACCGCGCGCGTCCTCCTGACGCGCGTTTCCCTCACGTTTCAGCGGCGAAACTCGGCCAGATCTGCTACGAGCACGCCCACTGCCGACTGTGGCAGCGGAATTCTCACTGCGATTTCTTGATCCCAAATTTGTTCGGACGTTGCCAATGCACGGCGCCTATGCGCCGCGAGAACGACGTTTGCCGACCGGACGACCTCGTCAGACCACCGCCGCTGTCGCACGGTGGTAACGACTTTTCCAATGAAACGACAATAAACGCGGCTACCTTGTCGTCCCGCCACGACGAGCAAACCGAAAATTGGCGTCAGCAGCAGGATCAGGAGGGAACTGGTAACGACTCGACTCGATTTCACCGATCGATCGTTGTTTTCATTTTGATTGTCCGACTCGATTTTTTTGCAGGCGTTGCGATCGAGTGGCTGAAAAATGGTAGCGCGCAGTCGACGATCCCGTCCTTCTCCCTCAACTCGATCAGCAGCGAGTCGTCGAATTCGCTCGGCGTGCAAAACGACAGGTTCCTGCCAACGATGGATCACGACGACAGAGACGACGCGATCGTGGTCGAGGCGGTCACCGAACCATCAACGGTGATCAACAGCGATAATGGTAGCACGTGGATGTCGGGTAAGACTGATCGTGAATTGGGTATACGATGAAAATGAAGGAGGAAAACGTAAGGTGTACATGTACGTAGGAGACGCAAGGTACTAAAGAGGGAAAAAGTTAGCCACAGATGGCAAACCGGTGTTTGAGTAAATGGCGGCACGGTAACGTCGTGTTACAAATCCAAAGAAATTAAAGGATAAATTGTTCGGTAGCGACCTTTCGCAATTGATACACGTACATACGGCAAGGTGCATTACTGTACGTGAACGATGAAAAATTGTCGACACTTAATGAACCAGTGGCGGTCCGCGGGCCCTTGCCCCTATTTTCCTAATCGCCTAGCGCTACCCCCTCCACTGCATCAAT